AGACCACACAGCCAGCCACCTGGCACGGCACCAAGCACCCCGGCGCGCCGCAGCCCTCCACCGTACACCTCAGCACGCTCAAGCCTCTTTCCTCCTCTCTTCTCTGCACTGCGACCTGCCCAGATCACGGAGGCGCAGCAAGGTGCGGCGGGACTGCAAAGCGTCAAAGGTCTTCCTGTGGCGCGGAGGCGGCGGGACCTGGGAGGGAGTCTGTGTGCAGCACTGTCTGTTGAGGCAACCAGCGAGGCCGCACAAAACACAAGCGGGCAAAAAGCAGCCTCAACCCTCCCAGCACCCGAGCGGGGTGTGCTGCTATCTCACACCCGGACCTCAATCGACGGGCCCGGAGGCGGCGTGGCCAGCGCGCAGGCTGACGGCAAAGCATGGCGCTCCAGAGCTGCGAGCGATGCGCGCCGTCTTCTGTGAGCGACGCCGTTGCTTCCTCGGTGCACCCCTCAGCGTCCTCACACTCGAGCGACCACGGGTCTGATGAGTATCACTGTACGCGCGGCAGTCTGCGTCGCAGGACTTCCTGTTGATGCGTCAGCGTCTGCAGCAGCTGCTGGAGCCGCAGCCGTTCCTCGCCGTGCTGCCGCATCACCTGCTGGTAAAGATCTTCCTGCTGTTGCCCACACACACGCTCGCTGCGCTCAAGTGCACCTGCCACTACTTCAGCTTCATTATCGACAACTACGGCGTGCGGCCTGCCGATTCGCTGTGGGTGTCCGACCCCCGTTACCATGACGACCCCTGCAAACAGTGCAAGAAGCGCTACGGCCGCGGCGACGTGTCGCTGTGCCGCTGGCACCACAAGCCGTACTGCCAGGCGCTGCCGTACGGCCCCGGCTACTGGATGTGTTGCCACGGCGCCCATAGGGACGCGCCTGGCTGCAACATGGGTCTCCACGACAACCGCTGGGTGCCGGCGTTCCACAGCATCAACGCGCCAATCTACAGGAGGAGCCGCCATGACGACCCATGATGCACAGCAGACTGTCCTTCAGTGCAACATTTAAAAAAAGAACAAGAAGAAGGAAAAAAAAGGGAATCAAACATTTTACAGGTCAGTCTGACCCGGTGGTTTCCTGCCGGTGCCGGCGGCAGCGTGGCGCCCTCTGCTGCTCAAACGCCTCGTCACAGCGAGCTTCCTGTCGCTGCTTCACGTCTCGTTAATGACGAGCAGCTGGAGGGAGGAAGTGTCCCAGCCAGGACTACTTCTTCTGCTGCTGTTCTTGTTTTCACAGTGTCTCTGATCAATAATCGATAATCTATAATCAGTGAGCTCCGAGAATGAGTTGTAAAAGAGCAGACTCACTAATTAACACAAGAGCTTATTATTGATCTGTTAATCTGCGATCGCAACAATGAGCGCAAATTCAACCAATCACTTCCTGTTCCTCTCTTTTATTGATCTTTAATCAATTGTTAAAAATATCAGAACTATTGTTGCAGCTTCAACAACAGAAAAACATCTGCAGTGAAATCAGGAACTGATGGACTGTATTGATAATGACTGATCAGATATTTAATAATAATCTCTGATCATAAAATAAAGTCAGGAACAAGCGGAGACGTTACCATGGCAATACAAACAATTGGTGGATCATCAGGAAATGATTAGTGATAATTGATCGTTTACATTGAAACGTTTTCGGTCCGGAGAGAGGACTGTGAGGAGGCGGGGCTTCAGAAGGAGGCGGGGCTTCAGAGGGGGATCAGCGGAGGAACTTTATCTGCACCTTGTTTGTGTTTACAGGAGAACTAATAATTGTTTGTTTCTCTGTCCAATCAGCTGAGGGATAATCAATAATCAACAGGAAGTGGCCTTGATGCAATATTAAAAAAAGAATAAGAGGAGAAAAGAAACGACCTTTGACCTTCAGAGATTTAGTTTTTTAAGGTTTGTTTGTGTTTGCTTTAATAAAGTGCTTTCTCATTGGTTCACTCATTCAGTGTCTTTATTGTTTGTTCACCTGGCGGACAGGTGTTCTTTTCAAACACCCAGTGACGTCACACAGCCGCCCTGATGACGTCACGTTGGCGCTGTGACCTCAGATAGCGCCTCCAGCAGCTGGTAGTAGTTGTACTTGATGTCGTACTCCATGTCGTACCAGAAATTCACTGCAGACACACACAGCAACAGATATTTCAAAATAAAAGCCTAATTGACGAATTGTTTATTGGTGTATGACGCTGGTTCCTCAGTGATGAGGGTTATGAGTATTAAGTATTTTGTAGAGTAATTAGAGACAATGGAGATTTGGGGACGTGGCGCATTCAGGCGCAGTGCGTACCTGCGATGCAGCCGTGTGACTGCTGGACGTGGTGGAACCACAGCGACGGCAGGTACAGCATCTCTCCGGCCTTCACGCTGCAGTGGAGCGGCCGAGCTCTCCGGTACTGCGGGTACAGCTCCAGGTCTGGGTCCAGAGGGTCCAGAGGGATCCATGGGACCTGGTGGGGCATTGTGTGTGTGTGTGTGTGTGTGTGTGTGTGGTGAACTTCAGTGATTTAAATAGAGCATAAAGTGCTGAGATTTACAGACACCTGAACGCACCTTCTCAGAGTCACTCTGATCGACAACCTCAAACTCACCGTCTTCCCGCTGACGGTAAACAGCTGGCTGATATTCACCTGCAGACACACCGTTACTATGGTTACTGTTTTATTTGCTGGCTGGTTACCATGGTTACTCTAAAAGAGGTAATTTTAAGGTAATTTTAAAAAGCAATTACTATGGTTACCATAGGATGATACAGGGTTGTTGCTATGGTTACTGTAGGGTTATAAGGGGTTGTTGCTATGGTTACCGTAGGGGATGAAGGGTCGGTCTGTGGGCGGCAGCAGGATGAAGTTTTTCTCTCCAGAAATCACACAGAACAGATTCTCATAGTGATCTTTGTGCACTGAAACATATTATGTACATACACACATATTAATATGTTGTAATATCTATAAATATATATTTATATATTAAACTATCTGACGAGTTGTGTTCAGGTCTTACTGGAAGTGACGGCACTTGACTCTCCAAGCCAAAAATTCACCGCATCTGGTAACTTTCCTAAAATAAGAAAAAATAATTGTCAAAGAGAAAACAATTATTAAATCTGATAAACAGAAATTAAGAAATTCTGAATTAGATGTGAAAACCGAGTAAAACCAATCTCTCTGAAAATCACTAAATAAAGCAGGGACGCAAGGATCCTCTGATCAATCCATCAATCCATCAATCAGTCCATCATTTCCATCATCGATCAGTCTATAATCAATATACAGAGAATTGTTTCTTTGCTGATTGATTGGATAGTGGACAACTAATCAATGGATTCTCTGCTTCGCTGAAGAACATTTATTGACCGAAATATGAAATATCCCTGCTGATCAGATTTAACATTGATCAGCTCTACTTTAATATCATCATCTGGTAGAGTAGGTGTGTGACAGGTGTGCGCTCTGAGCATGCTCAGTAGTGAACTCACCGAGCGCGGCGCTCATCCAGGAAATGTGAGACTCTATGTCGTCTGTGAGCTCCGGGAGTTCATCCAGGAGGTTGGAGCACTGCTTCTGTACGTAGAATACTCCACGGGCCTCCTCCTGAGTAAACAGAGTATACACAGAGTACATACAGAGTAGTAATATGCAGTAATGTGCAGTATTAATACGCAGTAATGTGCAGTATTAATACGCAGTAATGTGCAGTATTAGTCGCAGTATTAATACGCAATATTAATACGCAGTAATGTGCAGTATTAGTACGCAGTAATGTGCAGTATTAGTACGCCGTTAATGTGCAGTATTAATAGCAGTAATGTGCAGTATTAATACGCAGTAATGTGAGTATTAGTACGCAGTAATGTGCAGCATTAGTACGCCAGTTAATTGCAGTATTAGTACGCAAGTAATGTGCAGTATTAATACGCAGTATGTGCAGTATTAATGTGCAGCATTAGTACGCAGTAATGTGGCAGTATTGTACGCAGTAAATGTGCAGTATTAATACGCAGTCATGTGCAGTAATGTGCAGTATTAGTACGCAGTAATTGCAGTAATGTGCAGTATTTATACGCGCAGTAATTGTGCAGTATTAGTACGCAGTAATACGCATAATGTGCAGTATTAGTACGCAGTAATGTGCAGTATTAGTACGCAGTAATAGCAGTAATGGGGTGCAGTATTAGTATGCAGTAATGTGGCGTAATGTGCAGTATTAGTACGCCAGTAATAGCAGTAATGTGCAGTATTGTACGCAGTAATGTGCAGTAATGTGCAGTATTTAGTACGCAGGTAATGTGCATAATGTGCAGTATTAGTACGCGAGTAATAACGCAGTAATTTGTTCAGTATTAGTACGCAAGTAATGTGCAGTATTAGTACGCAAGTAAATGTGCAGTATTAGTACGGCAGTAATGTGCAGTATTAGTACGCAGTAATGTGCATAATGTGCAGTATTTAGTACGCGTAAATGTGCAGTATTAGTACGGCAGTAATGTGCAGTATTTAGTGGCTAGTATGTGGCAGTAATGTGCATTATTAGTACGCAGTAATGTGCTAGTAATGTGCAGTATTAGTAGCAGTAACTGTGCAGTAATGTGCATTATTAGTACGCAGTAATATCGCATCAATGTGCAGCATTAATACGCAGTAATAGTGCAGTATTAGTAGCAAGTAATTATGCACGATATACATTCAGTACGCACGTAATACGCAGTAATGTGCAGTATTAGTTACGCGAAGTTAATGTGCATGTAATTAAGTACGCATAATACGCAAAGTAATCTGCACGTATTAGTACGCAGTAATGTGCAGTAAATGTGCGTACTTAGTACAGCCAGTAATGTGCAGTAATGTGCAGTATTAGTACGCAGTAATACGCCACCAAGTAATGTGCAGTATTAGTACGCCAGTAACTGTGCAGTAATGTGCAGTATTAGTACGCTAGATACGCAGTAATGATGCATATATAGTACGCAAGTATTTGCACTAATGTGCAGTATTAGTCGCAGTTAAATACGCCGAGTAATTGCATAATATTAGTACGCAAGTAATGTGCAGTATTAGTACGCAGTAGTCACTCTTTCCCACTGGATGATGTCGATAACAGGCAGACAGACTCATCCGTCCTCTTCAGGCATCACGAAGCGATCACCACTGACAGGTGTCGCGTAAGCCGTTAGGAGTAACCGCCACGCTGATGACCTTTGACCCCACCTTCTCCCTGCAGACAGGAAAAAGCCCTGATCAAAACAGCCTGAACACAGAAGAAAGAAGAGTACAGGTGAGTGGCGGTTGCCGCTCACCTCAGGTAGTCCAGGGTCCAACCTGGACAGAGCTGCCAGATGGCTGACAGGCATTGCGGGATGATGCAGGGATTTGACAATCCGTCGCCGACCAGGTATGAACTGCAGCGGGTCAGGTGACTCTCAGGTAGGGCAAACCGATATGGTTCAACAGTACAGATTCTTGCCAGTTAATCAATAAATATCACTCTGATTGATACCACCAGCACAGCTGGAGTCAGCCGCTGAGAGCCCCAGTATTAATTAAGTTTTTGTCTATTTAGTCTGTTTTTATCTTTCATTCTGTTGATTATATTAAAAAAGTGGAAAAGCATCTCTTCATTAAACCTTCCTGCCTCACTGTTTCTTTATTTAAACAAATGATATTGTCTTATTCATAACTATATAATATACACTTATCGTAGACGCGTGCAGCATAACATCCAAGGAAATGTGGGTAAGGTATACTCTTATTGTCGTCTTTGTGTGAGCTCCGGGGAGTTCATCCAGGAGGTTGGGCACTGCCTTCTGTCACTGTAGATAAATACTCTACTGATGACCATCACTTCTACATGGAGTAAACTCAGAAGTAATTCACAGGTTATACAGTGAAAAGTAACCGCAAATAATTATGCACTCTCACGTGAGGTCCATATCAGTGCTCAACTCAGGGTCGTCGGTTTTCTATTCTCAGCGACCTCCATTTTTATTGTTTTACTTCATCACAAAGATAAATGTTCAATCCGAATTCCACGCATATTTAATATTCGCCCTAGCTAAATGTGCAGTATTAGTCACAGTCATTTAATACGCCATATATTTAATACGCTAGTAATGTGCAGTTTATTAGTACGCTCCAGTAATGCTGCATGTATTTAAATCACGCGCAAATGCAGTAACTGTCGCGTAAGTAACTAACATAACTCGGAAATACAGATGTGCAATTAATTTACTCGCAGTTTATATGCTCGATCTAGTTTCCATCTACAGTC